TGAGTAGTTTGAGGTTCTTCCTTTGGAGTAAATTAAATGACATAGAATTGAATTCGAGTAAAATATTGATACATTTTCAACGTATTCACATGGTGAAAAGCGATATGATAGCAATACATGCAGATTCGGCACTTGAACTCTAATTTACGGATACAATTATTTCACTGAACCACTTCTGTTGTTCTAGTCACTATTAATATTATTTAGGCAAGTAAACTGATTGTTCAGGGGATGCCGTTATAATTTATATGAAGGAATACTCTGGAATATTCTCCTTATTCACCTTGGCTATAATTCAACATTATTTTTTTTACCACGGCCGCACTTACCCAATCTGATATATGCTTTCTATTCGTCATTCTGGCATTACTGGTTCGACATATGATTATCTTAATAGTCTATTTTCAACTTCTTTGTATCTTGCTGCACAAGATTCCATTGATAATTTCACAGTCCCTTCTTCGACACTCTCGTTAATCTTTCCAACTACTACTTTCAATCGACAGTTTAAGTTTTTCATTGCTTCCTTGACTTTATCTGGGACCTCGTATTTCGTATATTCAATCCAGCGGATGTATGATATTTTATATCATACTCATCTATCCTTGTCTTGTTCAATTTCTGACCTTTCTTATGCATCTTCTTGCGAAATATCTTCTACTTCTTTATAGTCTGAAGTGACGTTTTTTTCAGATATTGACAATTTTTTGGTCAGAAGTTCTGCGTAAAATCTACTTTTGGAGTACTTCGTCTGATACGTCTTTCAATTATCTATACAACACTGTTTTTTTTTCATAAATCGGTTCAGCAATTTTTCACCATAGTTTGCAAATCCTCAAACGATAATTATAATAATTTCATATTGAGAAATTAATTCAAAACTCACACCAGTCAATTCCAATAACTACTATTCAAAATGAGTTTTGAATGAGTAATTCATTCTGAGAGTGATATCTAAAATAAACTTGGTTTGTCTGTGACAAATTCAGTTTAACGTTCTTCAATAGGATCTAATCAATTATGAAATAAATTAATATTACTGGAGTTCTTTCCCAAACACCAAATCGTTATTTTTAGCACCTCGACACGTGTTTCGATCACCAAGTGATCATCTTCAAGAGGAAGATCAAACTGGAAACTTTCCTAAGCTAACGCTATTTATGCTATGCAACTAACCTCGTATTTGTCAACATTGGTCGGTCCACTTGACGCGGCTAGATACATCACCAATACATCGCGTATTCTTTTCAGTTTAATTGAAATACGGGATAACGTTTTTATTCGAAATGAAACTGCACGAACAAGTTTCGATTATGATTTTGAGATTTCTGGATATTATATATAAATTGCTGGTATTTAAGAAGGAATTTAAATTGAAATATTTTTTAGTGAGCTTATGTGAATCAGTAAAGAGAGGCAGTTCATTTTCCATTTCGGTCTCTAGTATATGTTCCTTCTATTGGTGAGTTTGTAGAAATTAATATTGAATATAGGACGAAGAAAATAATTTTTGTCCAGTTTCTACCACGATTTCTTTATTTGTTATGACCAGTTTCAGTTTATTAAACCATTTTCGAGTAAACTGGGGCATTTTGAGGAATATCTATAAAAACAAAATATTACCTGAATGATCAATACCTTATGTGATATACCAAAACAATAATTATTCAACTATCGACTATTGATCCAAAAACACTACATGTGGATTACTTCAAATACCAATGGATCCTAAACTAATTGTCAAAATTCACAAATTCAAGAGAATTTTTATATTCCTCGTGGATGGCAATATATAGCTGATTTTTTGTCTAATAGCACATGCCTGTCTGGTCTGTATGAGCTGGTGAACAGTCACCACATTCTGGTCTATATATGCCCAATTTTTTCCACCTATCCGATTTGGGTTTCGTGTTGAATAACATGTTTCCTAAGTTATTCTTGCTAGTAAATGATGTAAATTTTGAGAAATAGTTTTTGAAGTTTTCGGAGAGCTTTTTACGAATAGCTTATGCTGGCATATTTCTGCTTCTTTGGGTTTTCATGATTTAGATATAGTTCGTTACTGGAATGACGTTTTTCATAATTTTTTTGACAATTTATCATGATATACAAATTTTGTAGAGCCATGCAAAAAAAACAATTGATTTACCACGATTAAATTGATCTTCAGCTGGAACGATCTCGAGCAATAGCTATAAATTAGAGCGATTTTGATTTTCAGCAAGAGTATAATGATTTTCTCTCAACACTCCTATTAAAATACAGTTGCTCGAGAACTAAGGAAACAACCCCAAACTCTTAAAAACATACATCTCCGCAGATAATAAGTTGTTCCGAAAGTTATTCCATTAACGAGAAAAGACACTTTACTTTTTTGTCTGGAAACTTTTTACTCTCGGGCAAAAATGAAAATAAATTCTTTTGTTAATAGACTGGTACATGAATACGCTATTATTTTCGAAGAAGAATGATATATATGGTAAACAGAATCTGAAAATGCACTCTGCGCAATATACACAAGAGATCGGAGAAGGCGGTACACAGAAATTTACTTCACTATCAGTGGATTAAAATATATATATAGGGGCCGATATATCAGCGTCGACGGTCAGCGCATCTCCGTGATCCTTTCCATAGATAACCCACCTATCATTACAGTTCATGAGTGAAAGGTAGGTAGGTTGTCTAATCGTTATTATCAGTTGAATCAACAGAATCCTTTTCTTGTTTCTCGTATTATTGTTTCTTATATTATTTTAAATAAGAACCAACTTTGAGCGGAGACTGAATAATTTATATTGTTTAAACAATTTGTATAAAATTGATATTCACAAATCAGTTTTGCATGACTTTTATAGAAAAATCTCAGATGGCACACCTCCATCAACAGCAGTAGGTTGCATATCTTCATGAGGATCTAGAAGTGATTTCGAATTGGGGTGAAAGTAACCAGGTTCAATTCAATGCCACAAAAACCCAGGCATAAATGTTTCGGAACCGGATATAATAATGTCAGGTCAGATAATTCCAGTTTCTGCTTCGATTGGGGGGTTTGTTTGTTGGGGGTTAAAATAGACACAAATATGTCGCTGGAATTGCAAAGGCTGTTTCTCAAAAGCTTGGAACACTGTTCCGAAACAGACAACTATACACACCTCAGCAACTTTTGATACTTTATAAAGTTCAGATCAGACTTTCTTTGGAGTATTGTTATCATGTATGGAGCTCTGCCCACAAACATACCCTGAAGTTTGCTAGATTCCATTCATATTACGTGCAACCTCGATAACCTGGAACATCGAAGAAAGGTTGGAGATTTGTCTCTCTTCTGTAGATACTTTCACGGGGGGGGGTTCAAGTGACTTGGCATATTTGATTCCACCAAGAGCGGTACATGTCAGAAATACGCGACGGACTGTGGCTGCACATCGTTTTGAGTTTCAACTCAGTACAGCTCGAACTTCACTGTTTAAGAACTATTTCATCTGGATAACTGTGTTGATGTGGGATAAACTTCCTGATAACGTTTTTCCAAATGGATTTAATCTTCAGCGATTCAAATTCAATGTGAATCGCTACTTTCGCTCTAAGAGCGTCTTAAAGACTTCCCTGTAGTGCTTGTATTTTGTTCATAAAAAATATTATAATATCAAATTGGATGATCACTATCACTTTCAATCGTTCGCTGCGGCTGTCACTGCAAGGCAGTTAGTCCAAACCAGAGCACGAAAACATCGTGTTTAAAAACTAATACCAGAAAGTGTTGTTTCAATTCGCTGAATTATTCATCAATGTTGTTAGACCCAAGTATCCTTCGACCTTTCTGGAGACTCTTTATCTTATTGATGTTGAATCTGAGAAATAATACTCCATGGGCTGAAAAGTTCGGAGTCTAATAGTACAAAAAATAATTTATTCATCATCAAAAATGTGTTTATTCTTCAATTTAATTTCCATCTAGCTTAATGCACTTGTTTCAACGATTCTCTCATTTCGATCCCGTTCGAATAGTGTGATTTCTAAAGGTGTACAAAGTGGGCCTCATCCTAGCGGTGACCTCTGCATTAGAGCTGACTCTTTTCCCCGAATAAATTTTTCAGGTTTGGAAACAAGTAATCATCGCAGGGGGCCAAATTCAGCAAATACATTGGGTTTGGACTAATTTGTAGCGTAAGTTGACCAATTTGACCGTCGCTCCCATGGATAAGTATGCTGGTACGTTATTTTGGTGGAATAGCACTTTTTTCTTCGCTATGTGCGGCAGTTTTCTTTTGATTTCTTGGTCTAGGCGATCGAATAGAGCAAGGGAAAGACTATCACGCCAGTAAATATTACTGGAGTTTTATTCCGACCCCAAACCGTTATTTTTAACACCTCGACACATGTTTCAACCACCAAGTGATCATATACATCTTTGATCTTCATCTTGAAGATGATCACTTGGTGATTGAAGTACGTGTCGCGGTGTTAAAAATAACAAATAACAAGGTGTTAAAAATAACAAATAACAGTGATATTCATTACTGCACCGACGGTTTCAAACAGTGCATTACAAGTATCACGCCAGTAATAATTATTTCGTGTGCATCCAGAAAAATGCTGCCCAAAATCTTTCCGCAGGACTGCTGGGTCTTCCAGCGTTTCGGATGGCTGCTAGCCGCTTTTAGCCACTCAGTAGACTATCGACTGGACTCCGGCGTATAGTAGTACTCAGAACCATGTTTCATCGATTATCACGAATCGATGCAAAAAGTCCTATTTGTTTTACGAATAACCTAACCTAACATCACTGAATCGACAGTCACTATAAAACTAGTCGGTGAAATGCCATGAAACTTGAAATAAGTGTGTTAAAGAGTTGCTCTTCACGAAAGTATACTTGAGTTTGGATTATAGCATCATCTGTATGTGAAGCTCCGAACTTGTTACGAACATGTCAGCTTTTGTATGTACACTCCATAGCTTAGAAACATTTTAGAAAATAATTAAAGCGTACTCACCGGCACCATTTTCCGTACTGTGCATAGTCACCCAGATGCAGACTCCTTCAAATAACTCTTTCGAGGAGGCGCCTCATCTCCCAGTCCGCTCCTGCAAAGGACAACACCGTTGTTATTTGACTCTTGGTGAGCGAAATGTGTGCAAATGACTCGCGAGCGATGACCGTCCTGCGATTGTGTGTGCGGGCCAATGCGGGCTCATTAACGATAACAGACCCACATACCGACATTTTGTTGTTTATGTAATTTGCCAAATTTGTTCACGGAAGTCTCGAGTTGAATGATTTTGGGAGCGCGAGCGTGTAGAAATTGATTAGGATACATTGACTTTATATGCGGCAGGTTCAATTCATTTCAACCAGCGAGGAAACGACAAATACAAGAGAGCTGAAAGGTCACGGTTCCTTGTGGTATACCAGTTCTGGTTTTTCTCGAGTTACTGAGTGTTGTCTATCTTAACATATTATTTTCTATTCTTATATAACTTTTCAGAAGCTTATAAGAATGTTACATTACCTAGTGATAGAAGGAGCATCTTTTCATCTACTGTAATAGATTCCATAACATCAATACATCATTTTCATTTGGTATATTTTGAAAAGGGAATATTATTGAAAGAAATTCGTTTTTTCGTGTAATTCGATGTTCATGTGTTTAGAAGTAAAGACACGCCCGGAGAAGCCATTGTATGGTGAAACACGTGTTGCATTTTTGTAAAACTGTTTAGTGGAAATCTCACAGTAAAGTGTTTTTGAATACGTTTGTTCCGAAGGGGTTTATTTTCGAGGATGTGTCTGAAAAAATGTCTGTGTATGATCTACATAGTTTTTATTGTAGTAATTTCCTTTCTTCCTTTCTCTGGGAGTTTCCCACATTTTTTGTTCAATGATGGAGAAAAATGAAGCCAAAACATTCTTTTTTGCTTGTTATATTATCACTGCCTCAGCTGAATCTTGTTTTAAAAATTGTTATAACTATAGTGTTTCAAATCTTTATATATAGCAGGTTATATCCTCATTTGACATATATACGGACTTCTCTAAGGCGTTCGACAGACTTGATCACGAATCACTGCTATCGAAATTATACAGGTACGGCTTTTCTCTGACCCTGATCCAATTTTTTCTATCATACTTCACTGACAGGCGTCAGTATTTTATATTCAATAGCTTCAAGTCTGTGGAATATGCAGCTACCTCGGGTGTTCCACAAGGAAGCAACCTAGGTCTACTTCTCTTTGACGCCTGCGACATAGTTGAGCTCATTGACATCAACAGTTTGACATACGCGGATGACCTGAAATTATATTATGAGATCAATGGCATCGAGGATTGTTTTCAACACTCCCTCAATCGGAAACGTGTTGAGCAATGGTGTTTACGCAACAATCTTCCTTTAAACGGGAGTAAATGTAATGTACTGAATACAGACTAAAAAATCGTCCATTCTCATGTACCATGTACCTAGACCAACCTCTAGTTAATGCTTTCTATCTACCAAAACCACGTACAAATATTCTGCATAATATGCGTATCAAATGCAATTCAGCAAGTTGTCAGCTCGACATTTTTTGCTGTTCCATCTCTGAGATTAGGTTTTTATACTTCAGCTAATTCTATATGTATTGTATCTACCTTATAATTTATTGTAATTGTATTGTATTGTGATTTGACTTATATCTCTGTTCTGTAGTTGGGTGTAACCTGTAGAACTGTGTATGAATAAATGAATAAATGAAAATTTAGATATATTGATGTTGAGAAAATATCATTTTGGGTCTATATTTCTCGTTTGGTATGAATAAAAGCTAATATTTGTACTTTCTAGATATATTTACATACAATTTTTTCTTTGTAGGATAATCTTTTTTCTAGTTTATAATATAGTGGAGTGTAGTATATTGTATGTGGTGGGCAGAAGTTGCAGGAATACATGAGAGATTGACGAAATGTGTACTTGAAAACGCTTGTTTGTTTATTGTACTAACAATATTTGGCATTTTGTGGAACGATTCTCAGAGATTTAAAGAGTATTGTTTTGTATAACCAACGATCGTTCCCATTATTTTCCATCAATAGAGAAATCTATTTGATGAGAATGAATGTCAACAACTTGTCATCAAATACTGACAAACTCAAATATCCATCATTATCTTCATCGCACCATTCTGTAGTTGGAGAGAATCGTTCTAAATAACAATTGGTTTCCTTAAAGAAAATACAGAAGATGAAAAGCAATAGCAAAGCGGTTACCCCTCGTTATGTACAATCAGTCCATATCGTTAATATAACGAGGTGGCATATCAAAAGTTCGGAAGAGTTCAGTGGCGGAACTAAATTCCTTCACAGATAGGGTTTCTAAAATATTGATAGTTAGCTTGGCACAGAGAAACTCCACCATTAAATGGAATTTTGCCAAAGCTTGCACGTGGAGAAATATTTTTTGGTTCTATGCGCTTTTTATTAAATAGCTTACGAATCGAAGTATGAAATTCTCAAAACATGTATTATGTCACTATTCAATAGAAATAGCGATATTGAAAATTGATATTTTATAATTTTGATACAAACTCCACCACAAAATATCGAAAAACGCGACAATTTTCAGGAAAAGCTAGCATATGAAGCAAAGATGTATAAGTACAACATTTATGATTTAAGAATGCCTGGAAATATTTTCGTTATATTCGATTTGTTGGATTTGTCTCCGTTCGAAATAGAAAAATGAATATTAAAACATTAAAAACATTTGAAATATCGAGAACAAGAAATCCCACCTGAGGAGCGCCATGTATAGTGTTGCCAAGTATATTATTTTTGAAGTAGTAGAATCAGGTTTATTGATGGAAAGACGGAAAAATGCATAACTAGCCTATGCCGCTTTTGTAGTCCGAGTATATTAAAAAAAAGTTCAAGAAAGACGACTCTCAGACAGCAGAAACTGTGCTTCTGAAAGATTTAAAGTTGCTGGGGTATGTACAGCTTTCTGATAAGAAATACTTTCTAGTTCATAAGGAACTGCTTTGGTTATTCCAGCAAAATGAAGCATCAATCCAAATTCACTATGTGTGTTTCAATATCATCGTCGGGTTTCTGAAACAAAAGTTAAACTTGGCTTCTTGGCTTTGAATTCTACTTGGTACCATTTCAAGCTGAAATGTTTTTCAAAATTTGTCTTGGTTTTAAAGTAGGAGTGCCCAAACTGCTGATGATTGCGCTTTTAGAGAAACGACAAATCTACTCTAGTTTAATTTTGTTAATTTTTTTATGAATCGATCCTATTGATGAAAAGAAGGTTGGAAATTGATGGCTATATGGAACCCCGAATAGTATTATAATTGATGGTGATTTGTACCTAGACCAACCTCTAGTTAATG